CATGCCATGCCAGTCTGTCCGTCCGTCTGTATGAGCGCAAGGATCTCAGAAGTTACAAGAGCTTGAATGACCAAACTTAGTATCCAGGTTCCCCTGAGCCCTAGGCAGGTCAAATTTGTTTTTTTTATTCTGATACACCCCCCCCCCCCCACACCTCCGCAATTTGTGTTTTTTTTTATAATTTCCGTAATTCTTGGAATTGTGATATTAATTTGGGTAGTTACAGCCAATTAGTGCTTATGTATCCGTATCCATGTTTCATCATGATTGGTCAATTCTAAAGAAAGTTATAGCCAACTTTGTGCTGTCTGTACGTGATGTAAATGCGCGATTCTGATGTAAATGTATGCTGTTGAAACTGTATATGAACATGACTCCAATTTTGTATATATGTATTGAATAATTTGTATTTAATTTTATTAACCAATTTAATTAATATACATTTAAAATTAATTAAATTTTTTTGTTTTTTCTTTTTTGGTGGGAGGTACAGGGTATTTAAGAGTTGAGCTCGCTCGACTTTAGTATTCCTTTCTTGTTATACCCTGTACCCAAAGGATACAAGGGTATATTAGTTTTGTGCGAGTGCACATGGAACACACAGAAGGAGGCTTGGTAGACCCCACAAAGTATATATATTCTTGATCAGCATGACAAGCTTAGTCGATATAGCCATGTCCGCCTGTCTGTCCGTCTGTCTGTCTGTATGAACGCAAGGATCTCCGAAAGTATAAAAGCTAGAATAACCAAACTGATCCACCCCCCCACTCCCCCACTATTAACGATTTTCTATAACTCCCGTAATTCTTGGAATTTTGAACTAAAATTTGGTAGTCACATTAGGTTAGTGATTATATATCCGTATACCAAGTTTCATTATGATAGAATGATCATAAAGAAAGTTATAGCCATAGAACCAGGCCCAATGCACACATACATACATATGTACAAGTACACAAACACGCATAGAAACGATTCTGATGTAAATGGAAATGTATGTATGCATGCATGGAATATTTTATATTTAATTTAGTTAATTAATTAAATTAATTTAGTTAATTTAAGATTTGAGCCTGCTCGACTTTAGCATTCCTTTCTTGTTTTTAACGTTCGTTTAAGTCACAACCTTAATTTTTTTTAGGGCACCTCTAGCTGTTTTGGATGCTGTGTGTGAATGCTAGTGTTTTAAGTTTACATGTAGTAATTTGCTAATTTAATAATATTTACGTAGGATATGCAAAATATTTGTGATGCAGATTGCTCAGAAAAACTACAAGTATAAGGTTTATATTTCAATGATATTTTTTGTGAGGAATAATGTCTTTGTTAGTGTTTTTAATCAAAACTCCTGCATCGGAAAAAATTAAGAAACTTGAACTTAGGGGAACCTGGAAACCAACTTCGGTAATTCTAGCTCTTGTAACATCTGGGATACTTTCGTTCATACAGACGGACATGGTTATATCGACTCCGCTTGTTACCCTGATCAAAAATGTATATACTTTTGGCGTTCTGTCACGCTTGCTTCTGTGTGTTACAAACAACTGCTCATAACAGTATTCACTGCGCTATGGTTTTTTTGCCCGTTTTTTTGGCAGAAGGTCCAAAAAAATTGGGTCCAAATACAAAAAATGTTGTTTTTATTTTATTATAAATTGTTTAATTAAGCGAAAATTAAATTAATTCCTGCTGATATGGCAACACCATTTTCTTGGCGCGCAGTCAAAGTTACCTGATTGTGTGAAATACATGTATTTAAGATTTTGGCAGCAATTTTTGGTAAACTTTCAGATCTTGCAGAATTAAGAAAACAACCAACAAAAGTTAAGTTAAGCTATATGAAATAGTGGCCAAACTAAACCAAACTTGATATGTCGTCTTGAATATGCAAATATGCGTACAAACTAAATTTGGGGTAAATATCTTAATATTTCGAGTTTCTGTTAAAAATTTAGATGCCAAACGAGCAAGAGAAAGTTCAGTTCAAAATTATTCCAGCGATTATAGTGAGTACTATACGCATTCGAAACAAGCGCATTCGAGTAAACATTATGACAGCAATTCACTTCATGTTCCTATATTTATGATTAAAAATTTTTATACTCTGTACATGAATTACATTATACTAGTATACTCTAGGTTTGCGGGAGCTGAAAATATAACAGGTAGAAGGAGGCGTGGCAGACCCCACAAAGTATATATATTCTTGATCAGCGTGACAAGACGAGTCGATCTAGCCCTGTCTGTCTGTCCGCCTGTCTCTCTGTATGAGCACCTGGATCTCAGAGACTATAAGAGCTAGAGACACCAAATTTTGCAGAAAGATGCCTTTTGTGAATACGAAAATGCGGAAAACGTGTATATTTGAATTTCCTTCCCTTCCCCCTCTCCACCATAAATCATATTTTCTCTTTGCAAATACCCCCAGTTAGTAATTATGTGTCCGTATGCCAAGTTTCATTATAATAGACCGATTTAACAAGAAGTTATAGCCATAAATATATTTGCTGCCCAAGCGCTGCCCGCAGCTGTTGTTGATGCTGATGCTTTGGTTGACTGCAAACATGATCACACAGACACGAATAGACGCGCATAGACATTCAGTCACTCACATAGACGCAATTTCTTTGTATATGTGCATTCATACGCCCTTTACGTGAGTTCGAATACCGAGAGAGGTAAAATAGATCCAAATTTTCCTTTTAATTTTTTTTTAATTTCCTTTCTTGTGGAGAGTACAGGCTATTTTACTGTCGGGCTTGATCGACTGTAGCGTTCTCTTGTTTAATTCTCTAAATTTTTTTTATTTCTATAATCATTGTAAGCATATGTACAGAGTATTTCAAAGTCGGGATACCCGACTTTAGCTTTTACTTGTTTTAATCTTTATTTAAGATCTATCCTAGGTCCGACAATAAATACATTTTTTGATAACTAAGACTTTTTATTGCCTGTACCCAAAGGGTAAAAGGGGATACTAGTTTTGTGCGAGTGTATGTAACACAGAAGGAGGTGTGGCAAACCCCACAAAGTATATATATTCTTGATCAGCATGACAAGACGAGTCGATCTAGCCCTGTCTGTCTGTTTGGTCGTCTGTCCGCCCGTGTGATAACCTAGATCTCGGAGACTATAAGAGATGAATCATTCCTTTCGTTTTAAATCTAAAAATGTTTTTAAGGCAATTTTTTATATTTTTGTTTATTTTTCGTCATGTGTTTCCGATTGGGCTTAGGTCTGGAATATTTGATAGGCAATTTCCTTATACTGCAGGCATTTCTTCGTTCCTTTGTCAGTGTCAGTAATGCTCCATCCTGCTGAAATGTGTATTCACCACAGTCTTCCAGTTTTGGTATTGATGGTAGCAAACTTTCTTCTAATATCTTATCGGATTTGTCAGCGTTGACAATTCCTTTAATAAAATAAAGTTGTCCTACCCCTTTGGCAGACATACAACCCCTCATAATGCTTGCTGGAAGCTTAACTGTCCTTTTAAGGCAGTCTTTATGGATGACTATTTTTTGAGCATCATCCACACTGACATCAAATTTAGATTCATTTAAATATGATTGTGTTCCATTGCCTTTGAGTCCAAGACATCCTTTCCCGCTTCTTCTTTGAACGAAACGTAACCAATAGTTTTTCCTTGGCTAAAGAGTAAGTTAAGCCATTGAGTACGTAACATAGATAATCACTATACATACTTTATAAAACCTATATCTAACCATCTATCTTAACCATTTTTCTAATATTCTCAGACCACTCAGATGCTACATTTCATAAAAATTGGGGACGATATGTCTTCAAAATTGTGGCCATGGCTGTTATTGTCGATGTTCGGCCTCTATTTGCGATTTTATTTTTAATATTTCCACTTTATTAAAAATTGTTCACTATTATTTGAACTGACGACCAAAATTATTCCCAGATTTATAATAATCTACAACTAAACTTCTTATTTCTTTGCAAATAGGTTTACTACGTGTCATTGTTGCTAAATATTGAATAATTTTAATAAATTACACATTTTTTACCCTCATACATTGTATTACTATTTCCAGTTTATAACTAGATATTAATTATTAATTTAATTTTTTCTTAAATTTTCGTCTTTTGTGGAGAGTACAGGGTATTTTGCTGTCGGGCTTGCCCGACTGTAGCGGTCTATCTTGTTTGTACTCCGTTTATTCATATACATATGTATGTATTTTTATTTTTATGTATGCATGTACATGTACATAAATTAATGTGCAAAATATGTACATACATATATACAAGTATGAGCACACAAACATATGCATTAAGTTATTTTTATGGCATATGTATAAGAACATATCGTATATGAACATATGTATGTATGTATGTATGAATGCCTCAAGTCAGGGTTGGAAATTAATGCGCAATACGCATGCGCTTGGGTAGTTTTATGTAAATACAGATGTAAATATACATATGTATGTACATATGTACATACATGCATGCATGTGTATGTAGGTAGACTTATAAGTACATAGTTTCCATTTTATACTCGAAAGTTTCTATAGCAAAGGTATCAAAAAAGGAAGCTACTGATAGAAACTAAAATGTTTCGTGTGATGAATCTTATGTCTGCAACAAATACATACGTAAATATTTATATATAGACATGCACATATACATATGTATGTATACAACATGCACATGTACATACATTGTATATGACAGATGCCTCACACAATTAAATTTGTATGTATGTACATACGCACAAGTTTTGTACATGTACAGCAAAACGAAAAAAATTATCTTTCTGGATAAAGAAAAGCGAATCTTATGCCTTGCAGGAAAATCAATAACAAATACATACAGCTAAACTTATCACATTATATTCATTTTTATGTGCATTTTTACTATCTTTCAATGTGTGAACAATTCCGAATCAAAGATTAATATTTAAAACAATCATAACACCTTCTCCAATTAACTTATAAAGTCGAGAGAAACTAACAAGGTTTTTTCCATACCGTTGAAGGGGCTGTTGAATTTTTTATATTTGAGTCATTCACAAATCACACACTGTATTTGAAAATACTACAAAGTGCCACTAATCCACAGGGGTGGCGACTCTGTATCAAATGTTGCACCACAGCCACGCGCTGAGACACTGCAGCTGGCTTTTATATATTTTTCAATACTCTGCTTATTTTATTTATTTATTTAGTGCAACACACAGGGAAGCGCGAAACGCACACAAACAACCACCAAACCGGTCTGGAGTAAGGCGTGAGTAAACACACTACGAGCAAACAGAATCTGAAGAACTTCAGTTACGATCCGCTCGACGGCCGTTACGAGACTGAATTATGGGATGAAAACCAACCGGGTAATACTCATGTGGATGCTGTTCGTGGTGGTGTGTATGTTAAAGCGCGCTGTTGTTGAAAGGCTCATCTATTTTGGGAAATTCTTCCCGGGAAAAAGATACCTGTTGAACTCGCTTAATACATGGAACTGTCACGTACTTAGGTAGGTACCCTTCAGTTCGGCTTGTGGAAATTGCCCTTTTTGAGCTACCCAGTGTCAGCATCAGCTGCTTTATGAAGACTGCGCCATACCTAACGACAAAATATAGCCTCGTAAGTCGTTGCCCGAATGAAAGGCAATGCAACAGTGCTTAAAGAAACGATTTGATGAACGAGCGCTGTGTTCGTCGTCAAGTAACAAAAACAAAATATTGGGCAAGTCTCGTTACTTTGTTCAATACAACAAATATTAGGCAAATGACGTTGCTTTTTTTTGCATTTCCCCTGATTCCGATTGCTTTGTCTTCTTCTGACATAACCGTAAATCATACCATACTGTGTGACACCTTAAAACAAATCATACCATAGTGTGTACGAAAATGAAAATACTTTATAATTTCTCTGACTTATCTATTAATCTTGTCCAGTCATACATATCTGTCCTGTCGTCACCAAGCATCGCATAATTTTTCCTCATTCCGTGTACCCAAAGGGTGAAAGGGTATACTACAGAGAAATGCAACGAGTATGTTCGAGTATGTTCGACCACCCTTGCTGATAATGCAATCAAATCAGATGGCTTGGTTGCAAACGAGTTCGAAAGGGTTGTTTTCTTATGATCGAACTTGAATGAGCCAGAGTTCTATTTTTGCGAACGAGTACCAGCCTTGATTGGTTTGCTTTCAAACATTGTGCGAGTTGTACTCGGGTTTTGCGCAGGTTTTACCCGAGTATGTCTCTAGTATTGCGTGGGTTTTACCCATGTATGTACATATGTATGTATGTATTTGTGCGTGCATTCGTTGCTTGCAATTATGCGCAAACATGTGTATACATATTTATGTGCGTATTTTAAATAATGATGCACAGAATTAAAACAAAACATATTTATTGATTTTCATATTATGACATATTTTGTATCATGATTTTATTTCTTAGAAAAGGAACTCAATTATCTTAAAGTAAACAAATTAATATAAATTAAAATAACATAAATATTTTTATTTAAATAAAAAGGAATTTCTTTTCGCTAATACTTTTGTTGGATTCAAGTGCACGCGCCGAGATCATTACTCGGTTGAGGCGAATATTTCGGTCATGCAGGTATGATTGTAAATATAAAAACTTTCGTGTTTATTTTTTTTTTTTTTTTTTATTAACAGTTCGGCTGCAATGTAAAATGTACAGGCGAACAAATATTTAGCTATAGCTACGAGGCCTTAAGCTAGCATTAAATAACAGTTAAGGATATTTAAATTTGTTACATATAAATATATAGGACGGGGCTTAACTTATTGTATGTACAAATTATGTTATAGGGCCTTAAGGGTATTGCTATTGTTGAGGTATCGGATTATCGTTTCTATATTAAGGGGATTGAGATCAAAAAGGGATTGGACGGGGCTTATTGTGGGGAATAGAGAATTTCGTATAGGTTGTAAATGTGGGCATTCCGCCAGGATATGTTGAATGGTTATACGCTGGTTGGTGCACATAGGGCACAGGGGCGCTATGTGAGGACGATTAAAAAGGTAACTATGGGTGAGGTTGGTGTGGCCCAATCTTAAACGAATAATTTTCGAGAAAGTGGAGCGAGGAATTGAAAGCTTGGATTGATTTCGACCGTAGTCGTATATTGTATTCGCTTTTGTGTTGTTGGAATTGTAGTATGAGTTCGTTTGATGAAAAAGAGATATTTGTTCGGATTTGAAATGTTTTTTTATATGTTTTAGGATATCTGTGATATTAAAGTTATTGTGAAATGTGAGTGGGAGGAGAAAAGCGTCTTTGGCAGTCTTATCTGCATCTTCGTTGCCTTTTATCCCGCAGTGTCCAGGAATCCATATTAGTTTTAATTTTTTAATGTTTTTTAATAGTAATTGTCTTATGGCAGATGGGTAATATGAAGTATTGGTGGAATTGGAGATGGCGTTTATTGCTGAAAGGGAGTCAGTACAGATAGCTGTAGGATGAGGAGAGAGTTGCGATAAAAGTGTTGCTTTGTGGATGGCAATAATTTCGGCTGTATAGATGGAACTGTAGTAAGGTAATAGGTTTTGCTGGTGAGAATCATTAGCTACTATGCTAAAAGAAGCTGCACCGTTCATTTTGGAGCCGTCGGTATAAATGAATGAGTAAGATGAGTAGGTATTTTTCAGCTCTAGGAATTTTTGGTGGTAAACTTGTAACGGAGTAATGAGTTTGGGTAGTTGGTGTAGAGAGATGTCTATTGCGGAAGATACATCATTCCAGGGTGGAATAGGGTGTCTCTCTTGGGGAAAAGGTTTGAAGGGTAGACCAAGATCTAAAACTGATTTCAGGGCTCTATGTAGGGCGGATGGAATATTAGGGTTTGGCTTTCTTGATTTAAGTATTTTTTCTATTGTTGGTTTCAGTGGTGATCCGTTTGAAAGTAAAATTTGTCTAATAAGTTTGGCTGTGGAAAATTTTGTTCTGATATCTATTGGCATCATGTTGGCTTCGAAGAGGAGGTTGTATATGGGAGTGGAGCGGAAGGCACCAAGAGCAGATCTTATTGCGGAATGGTAAATTGTTTTAATTGGCTTTAAATAGGAAGCAGGGGAGTTTCCGTAAAGAAATATACCGAAATCTATCTTTGACATTATTAGGGAATTAATAGTGTGAATAACGCTGAGCTGGCTGCAGTTGTATTTATTGTTGGAAATGCATTTTATAATGTTAAGCTGTGTTGAAATTGAAGCGGTTAGGTTAGATATATGGTCTAGCCAGTTAAATCTTTTGTTAAATGTAATTCCTAGTATTTTTAATTTGTCTGTATTTTCTATAGGGGTAAGAGTGGTAGAAAGTTTGATTTGGCAGGAGTGCTTTTTGCAAATATGGAGGTGCTTGCATTTAGAGAGCGAGAGTTTGGCCCCTGAATGCTCGCACCAGGAGAGAATGTCGGTGAGTAAAGGGTCTATGTCTATTTGAGAGCTATTGTTTAATTTTTTAAATATATGGTAGTCATCGGCGTACGCACAAAAGTTAAATTGCTTGTGTTTATTAATTATGGAGTTAAGTTTGTTGAAGGCGATGATAAATAGGATAACTGACAGGGGTGATCCCTGAGGGATGCCGTTGTGTTGGGGAAGGGTTGAGGAAAAGTGGTAGTTGGCATAAACTTTAATTTTTCTGTTGGTCATAAAGTTAACGCAGTATTGGATTATTTTAGGACCTATTTTCCACGAACGCAACTCGTCTATTATTGAATGGATGCCAATTTTATCAAATGCTTTGGTAAAGTCGAGTGATATAATTGAGGCATGGTTTTTTGTAGATAGAGAGGACGAAATCAAGTGGTCTAAAACTAGTAGACTGTCCGAAATCGACCTTCCTTTTCTGAAACCTGTTTGACGGCTATCAACGCACGAGTTAAGGGATATGGGACGGTAAGAGTTGAGGGAAGTTTTATCGGAATGTGGCTTGTTTAGGGGAATTATTTTACTCAGCTTGTAGTGCTGAGGTATGTGGCTATTGAAGATGTTATTAAAGTGGTCCACTAAACGGAGCTTTACTGAGGGATGGAGGTTTTTCAGCATGGCGTAAGATATACGATCCAGGCCTGGGGATTTTCCTTTTAATTTTGAAAGAACTATGTTAAGCTCGAGAGTGTAAATAGGTGACTCTATTTTTAAGGCAGAGGCGGACGGCCGGTACTTGGGAGGGGCTAGTAGGGAGCTGTTTTTCAGAGTAATAAAGGTGTTGGAGAAGTTTTCATCACTGGATTCGGCAGACCAGAAGGTACACAGTTCATTGGCTATGGCTAAGTTGTCTGTAATATTGACTTGAGAATCTGATTTGGTAATGCAGTGGATTGAAAGACTTGTTTTTAGACCACAGAAAGAGCGTAGGTTGCTCCAAATCCTAGAGGAAGAAGAGCCGGGGTTGATTTCGGCGGTAAAGGATTCAAGGGATGTGCGTTTTGCTATTTTTACTTCTCGTTTGAATAGTGCATTTGCTTTTTTATAATTAATTATGTTAGTAGTAGATATGTTTCGTCTTAGTGTTAAAAAAAGGGAATTTTTAGATTGTTTTAATTTTTGAAGGTTTTTGTTCCACCAAGGGACCTGGTGTTTTATATTATGTTGGTAAGTGGACTGTGGGATGGAACAGTTCGCACTTTGGTGAATGATTTTTTGAATGTTTGCTGATTCCTTGTTCAGATTTTTACTTTTAGGGCGTTGGTGGTGAAAATGGTAGCTAGCGTCTTGAAATCTTGGCCAGTTTTCCTTATCTAGTTTGAATTTGGGAGTTATTATTGGGGTTGAGTTGGTTTCGAATAGGGATGTGATAATTGGGAAGTGGTCACTGCAGAAGGTATCGGATTCGGTGTGCCATGAGGAATGAAGAGCGAGAATTGGGGTGGCGAAAGTGAGATCAACATGGGTCAGGGTGCTATGTGTACTGAAATGGGTAGGAGAGCCATCGTTTAGTAGGATTAGCGGTGATTGTTGTATAAATTGGGCTATGATGTGTCCCTTCTTATTATTACGGGGCGATCCCCATAGCATATGCCAGCTATTGAAATCACCGGTGATAAGGGTGGGAGTGTCTATGTTGCTGAAGACATTTTCTAGGTTATTGATGGTAATCTTATGATTGGGGGGGATATATGAGCATATAATATTGAAGGTTAATTTAGAGTGGATTTTGATGCAAACGGAATCGAAGTCTTGTTGAAGGTGTATCTCAGTATGATGAATGGA